TGCATCAACGTTGCTGATTGTCGTATTTATACTTGATATCTGTATATAAAATCGTGTATTAGTATACTGGGGCAAAGCCCCAGTATACTATATAGGGACTGCCGGACCAATAGCCCCGCAGTAGGCGTCCGGCTGCCGGACCAATATCCACTTCCTTTATTAAAAGAACCAATTTTTAGCTTCATTTTAAAAATGTTTTCTACGTCAGTTTCTCTAAAAATGCAATTGGCAGATTTTATATTGGCCATGCGCAAAGTCTGAACCTAAATTTTTATTATAGTTCTTGATTTTCAAAACTACTATATATTACATGTGTACAAATGTAGTATGATTCACCACCAAAATTTCATACATTACATGTGTATATTACTGTGTTGTTAGCCTATCATTCCAAGTATATACAATCTGATTATATTTTCTTCTCTAAACAAAAATTAGGTCCAATAAAATCACCCATCTTGCACGCATTGCGCTTAGTGCTATAAAACAAATATAGTTGGGGGTCATTGTTATTCGTGTTATTTCTTGCATTGGTGCAGGATTCAAAAAGCGTCCCTACCCAGCGTAGGACGAGTGTCATACTATTCACTCTACTCCGTCAGTTGAACAGGGCCTCTAATCTTTATTGCAAGGAGACGAGGGACGGGACTCAAGAGAGGAAACTGAGCATCGACGAGCTACACCTTCAACTCCAGAACCTTCAATATGAGGCCAAGCACCTCCAGAAGGAAATCACCAGCTGCTATGAGTTTAAGTATGCAGGACGGGAGCAAGTACCGTATAAGTGGGTTTTCCCGAGGCTTGCAAATTTTGCAGATTTCTTCCTAATTCAAGAAAGTAAAATCTGCAAAAATCAATTTAATATGGTACCTGCATGGCACGTGGTAGAAGTCACAAAATTGAAATTTGTGAATTAGAAATTTAGTAGATTTTACAAAGTATAATTTCCTCGAAAAACAAACCAGTTATACGGTGCATACAGTATATGTAGTTTTGTGCATGTTTGTTGACTTTTTCTTTAGGTCAAAACACGATGACATTGATTTAATTTCGGAAGAAGAGTTTTATGAAAGTGCTCCAGAGTCTCTTAGCAATCCAGTGAGTATTCACTAGCCACGCCCACTTTCTATCGACCTTATTAGGAAGTGACAAAGACTGATTCTCATAAACTCATGCTCGCGAGACTGGAATGGGAATTAAAGCAGCGAGAGCAGTAAGTTATTGCCCTGGTCCTTTACATGTACATAAACATCTAATACTATAGAGCTCCTATGGCAATAGCGATTTATCTGGTACTTAACATTAACACACTATCTAAATCTAATACATGTACATTTCACTACATGTTTTCTCTTTTGACAAAAATGATACTCTATTTTTCTTCGTAGGCTAGCCTCGCGACAGTCTTCACTGGAAGCCTCGATAAAATCAAAACTCGAGCAAACTCAAAAACTAGAGGAAAAACTCTCAAGACTCCGCCCGGCCCTTGAGCAGCTTAGAGTCTCTTCTTTGGCCTTGGAAGAGTTCTTTGATACTCCTGTCAGTTGGGAAAGGGAGCAGCGTAAGCTGGCCGTCTTGCTGCCTAGGTACTGTAGTGTCAGTATACCGTATAGTGGTTTTTTGAGGATAAAAAATTTTTGCAAATTTTGTGGATTTATTAAGATTCGCAACATTAAGCTCCTTGAAAATCAATTTAATACGGTACAAGATGGCAGAATATAATGGAAATTTACGATAATTAATTATGTAATCTTTCGGATATTTGCAAAAATTATTATCCTTGAAAAAACCGCTATATGGTAGTAAGCATGTGCACGTAATATACATACTTCTATCCTGTTCTTGTGTAGGCCATTGTACATGCTGTTTGTTCAGAGTGAAGGATACAGTAAAGCTGAGGGTAAGTATCTGCAGGGTTTCACACTATAAATAGCGAGAAGTCCTTTTTGATGTCCTCATGCTATGTAGAATGTTTGAGTTGTTTCTGGCGAATAATTTTTGAGTTACGACCATTTTTAAAACTCCAAATTTTGGAAAAATACCCAAGGCCCATGGTTTTTTTCAAAAAAATGGCTCTGAAATTCCCCCAAATTTTTATTACATTTTCTGATACATATTGATGTCCTAATGTTATGTAGAAAGTTTGAGTCGATCCCAACTTCAATTTTCCAAGTTACCGCCACTTTTAAAAATGAGTCATTTTTTGAAAAATACCCAAGGCTATAGCCCATGGTTTTTTTTTCAAAAAATGGCTCCGAAATCACCTCAAATTTTTATTGCATTTTTTGATACATATTGATATCCTAATGCTGTGTAGAAAGTTTGAGTCAATTCCGACTTCAATTTTCCAAGTTACGACCACTTTTAAAATTGAGCCATTTTTTGCAAAAATACCCAAGGCTATAGTCCATGGTTTTTTTCAAAAAATGGCTAAAAAATCATCCCAAATTTTTATTAAATTTTTTGATACATATTGATGTCCTAATACTGTGTAGAAAGTTTGAGTCAATTCCGACTTCAATTTTTCAAGTTACGACCATTTAAAAAAAACGTCAAAACTCTGAAAAATACCCAAGGCTATAGTCCATGGTTTTTCCAAAAAATGGCTCCGAAATCACCCCAAATTTTTATTACATTTTTTGATACATATTGATGTCCTAACGCTGTGTAGAAAGTTTGAGTCGATTCTGACTTCAACTTTCCAAGTTATGGCCACTTTTAAAAACAAGCCATTTTTTGAAAAATAGCCAAGGCTATAGCCCATGGTTTTTTTCAAAAAATGGCTAAAAAATCACCCCAAATTTTTATTAAATTTTTTGATACATATTGATGTCCTAATACTGTGTAGAAAGTTTGAGTCAGTTCCGACTTCAATTTTTCAAGTTACGACCATTTAAAAAAAACGTCAAAAATCTAAAAAAAATACCCAAGGCTATAGTCCATGGTTTTTCCAAAAAATGGCTCCAAAATCACCCCAAATTTTTATTACATTTTTTGATACATATTGATGTCCTAATGCTGTGTAGAAAGTTTGAGTCGATTCTGACTTCAACTTTCCAAGTTATGGCCACTTTTAAAAACGAGCCATTTTTTGAAAAATAGCCAAGGCTATAGCCCATGGTTTTTTTCAAAAAATGGCTAAAAAATCCCCCCAAATTTTTATTAAATTTTCTGATACATATTGATGTCCTAATGCTGTGTAGAAAGTTTGAGTCAATTCCGACTTCAATTTTCCAAGTTACGGCCACTTTTTAAAATGAGCCATTTTTTGAAAATTACCCAAGGCTATAAGCCCATGGTTTTTTTCAAAAATGGCTCCAAAATCACCCCAAATTTTTATTACATATTCTGATGCATATTGATCTCCTCATGCTATGTAGAAAGTTTGAGTTGTTTCCAACTTCAATTTTTTTAGTTATGGCCATTTTTAACAAGCATAATCATTATGATATACTTTTCTTGTTAAAGATTCTTTGCTTAAAGTCATTGTCGACGGTAATCTTGAAGAAGCAAAGACCTTTGACACTACCGGACAGAAAGAAGAAACACAACAAGATGAAGAGACAGAGTCGGAACAATCCGGAACAAAAGTGGGTCCGATTCATTAAGCTCTGATCATATTGTCTTTGCCGTTAGAAAAAGAAACGACGTAAATCAATGAAGCCATCGCCAGAGGATGAGTCTATTCCTCCCTGTAGAGTCTCCTTTCCACTCACTGTTAGTTTGAAGATCACTACTAAATGTAAGCTAAAGACTAAAATAGACTATAGCCTCCTTACTGATGGCTTACAATTGTAGATGTAGTGATGTAGCTATACTTGTGATAATGCGTAAAATTTATTCTAAATTTTTGGGTTTTGACTGTTATGTTTATGTTATGATTTTGTTCCCATAATCACAAGGAAAATAAACAAATTCATGCTTGATATTCTTAATTCATACTGCAACATTTGCACAATTATCTGTCAATGTGTAAAACATAAAAAAGGTCTTGACTCTATGCATGTAATACATTTATGCTATATTAATTGAAAAAAAAATCTAGTCAGTTTTTGGATTGGACTAATTATTTTATTGTCAATTTACATTCTGTTAAAATTAATTATTAATATATTTTTTAATTTTTGCATTGTTTATTTTTTAGGTGTTGGTTCTGTCACTATTTGTTTCTATTATTTGCCATTTTTCAATGCCGTCTGCTCCTCAGTGACTTCCATTGATCTAGAGACAGACCATGCTTCCTTGAAAGACATTTTTGTCGATAAGTCCTTCTTGTTGCATAATCTATTCGAAGGCGATTCTGGAAAATTTTCCCCTAATTCAGCCGTCTCTGTCCAAATTAGAAAATACGGCGGAACTAATTTCTCAGCTGCAGTTAGGCAATATGGATTTCCTTTTAAGGTAACAGCTATGATTGGTTGGTTTTTGATGCCGGAAACTTCTAAAAGTTCTACAGAGCATAAGTTTATCAGAATCAGTATAAAACTTAGAATTTTTTATAACCATTTTTTGGGAAAAATAAGGCTGGTCTTTGTCCAAATTTTAACTTTTTGATTAAACTTTTATGCATTTGATTTACAATTTAAACTACATGTATAATCATAGTTTATTATTATTATTTTTAAAAATTATTATTTTAAAAAA